TATATATATATGTATATATATATGTATATATTTCAAGTAATATTGTAAATTCAAGTAATATTGTAACAACTTGCCCCATAGTGAGGTAAGTTGTTACAATTTGCCTACTGATAGAAAAGTTAAATTTTCAGTATTTAAAGACATAGATACAAATCAGAAAAAAATTGATTATTTAATTAAAGATGTATTTGAAACAATGTATAGGTATTCATTAATTTAAATGTATACATTAGTATAGAAAAAATTGCTACATAAAATAAATAAAAAATTGCAACAACTTGCCCTGGTCTTCCCTACTTTATACAGATTTCCTGTAAAAGAAAAAGAATAGGAATACATAGCATTATTGGCTACTGTGTAAATTTTGAAGCCCATTTTGTCAGACGCTCATTTTTGCTTATTTTACAAAAAAATTAATTATTGCAAAATTACAAATAGTATTATAAAAATTTTACATTATCTGATAGAAGACACTTTTTAGTTTATATTTAAAATTTTATTTTTACTTTTTGTTTAAGAAATATTATCTAAAAACAAAGTGTCGGTATCCGCGACCTTTCTCTATCATAAAAATTATATATAAAAATTCATAAAAATGTGCTGCCATCTGTGACAATTAAAAAAACTAACTGTAACAACTTACCCCATATATCAACTTGTCCTATGGCTCTCCTATATGTAAAGTCTATGTAAAAATGCATTTTTTTTCAGTAAATAAACATCCGGGACCAATTATAAAAATGAATTATATATAGATGTTGTAAAAACCTTAATTGAACTTATAGGTCAACGTTTTAAAATTTTTTTTTAGTAAAAAAAAACAACGTTTTAAATTAGTTTTTATAGCGGTTTCGTAAATGTTTAATTAATCATTATTTCTAATGTTCCCTACACTTATAATGTATTAAAAACTTATTTATAATTGTTACTCAATTATGGAAAAACATTTTTTCAACATTTTTTCAACGTTTTTATTCTACTTGAGTAATTATACGATTAATAATAATTTGATGAAGTATATAATATATACTTATATTTATGTATACTGTATATTTATATACAAGAAATGTTTATTTTTAACCAATAAAATATAAATAATACAATTATAAAAAAATATAAATAATTCAGATGAAGCTAATGAGAGTTACTATTGTAAGAGCGAAGAAATAGGAGAAGCAAATAATCCTCAGGTGGTTATCTTCATTCGAATGTTTCGATTCTTTTTCGAATTCTCTTCAGCGAATACAAAATCAAAATTCTTCTATTGAAAGCAAGTCACTTGCAGATTGTCAGAAATACAGTATACATTACACTAAATCAAATTATCATTCTAAAATAAGGGAACTTATCAAAAATATTAAACCAAATGGCACACCTCAATGGAAAATTATAAAAAACGAAGCTCAGAATAATAATTCACATTTATAATATTGAGTAAAAAAGTTACTGTATAATAGATATTTATTATTCTTCTGACTAAGAATTCGTGTATGTACGACATGACGTGTCATTTAAAATTGAATGTTAGGAAACTGACAAGGAGATTAACAACAAGCATTGAAAATAAATATAACTATGAGTCAGTCAATATAACAAAGTATGATTATCATTTTTGTTTAAAAACATATTCAATAAGAAGGCACGAGTAAAATCACTCTGTGTCGTTTTTAAATTAAGTCTATTCTTTTGCATATAAATGTGAGACATTTTGGAATTTAATCGTTTATTGAGAAATTTTTCTTTATTAAGAATCTGAACATTCTCCTAATCGAAATCATGCACTGAAAGAAAAGATTGTTTTTTAGATTTGATAATCGTCATCAACGAAGAAAGAAAATTAGAATTTGATTGGTTCCTACTTATTCGGGACATTATTTGAATTACTTCTCCTCACTTTTGATTTCACAAAAAACATGTGTTATAACGGGTATGAGTAACAAAACTGTTTTACTTTCGAGTCCAAAATTACAAGAATATTAAGTTTATAGTTAATACTTTATTAAATAATGTCTATCCAATTGATTTTATTTTCAACATTATCAATTCTCGATTAAAACTTTTATTTCATAAATTATTGACGAAATAATTATCGAAATCATATACTGACATTGCAGATAGGCTAATGCAACTAAAAATTTGCTGCTACAACCAAAAACTGGTTGCTACAACCATATAAAAATGCTATGCCATATTTTACTATCTAAATTGTTGTAGCAACCGATGTTTTTTTCAATGTAGTTACAACAAAATCGATATTCTATGATTGGTTTTTGTTATTATTTTTTATGTGGTTTTGATGCTCAGATATTCTAATGCCTAATTTATGATCCGTTTGACCATATGATACATGGCAATCTTTGCACGGAATCTTATAAATCACATTTTTATTAGAAAGTTTTGAGAGAACCTTCTTTTGTCTTTTAATGAATCTATTGAATTTATTCAAACTGAAAAAAAACAGCTTAACATTAATATTCTTGATGATGGAAAAGAATTTCTCAGAAACCGTTGACATAAGATAGATGAATCATGATGAACATTCGTTAATAGACGTAGCAGTAGTGTCATTATTTCGTCTAATAATTTATTAAACAAAAATTTTAATTGATACGAGAATTGATAGTGAAAATAAAGTCAATTGGATAGTCATTATTTAATAAAATATTGACTATAAACTTAATATTCTTATATAATTTTTGGACTCGAAAATTAGTAAAATAGTTCAACCATTCCCGTTATAACATAACTGTTTTTTGTGAAATCGAATGTGAGGAGAGGTAATTCAAATAATGTTCCGAAAAAATAGGAATCAAAAAAATAGGAATCAAATCAAATCAAATTCTAATTTTTCTTTCTTCGTTGATGATGATTGTCAAATCTAAAAAATTGATTCTATTGCCCTCTATTTCAATTGTAAACTATAGCCTCGAGTGTAAGGAATTAAAAATTGTGAGTACTTTATCAATTTCATTGAATGATACGATTATCACAATGTCGTCAACATACCTAAAATAAAACGGAATAGAAATTCTTGTCTCCAATGCCTTCACTTCTAAGCCCTCCATCATCAAATTAGCAATGATCGAAAATAGAGGTGAACCCATAGAAGTATCAAATTTTTGTTTGAAAAATTTCCCATTGAAAGTTGTTACGTCTAGCGGACTCCCACAACTTTCTTCTTTCATGGAGATCTGAAATTCGTTGAAAAAGACAATTGCGAATAACGCACAAGTTGAACATTATAGTCTAAAAAAGACTAAAAATTTTCTTTTCTCACACTAAAAATTAAAACGAAGAATCCAGCATCTCCTCGTAAATGTTCCGAGATAAACTAAAAATCGATGCACGAGTGACGAGATCAAAAGGACATCAAGTTGTGCCCCTCGGACACTGCGGCTAAAATAATAATAAATATATCATTAGAAGCGTAAGACTGGCGCCAAGATATCTTTTAACGGTCAAGTCGTGGACGCGAGAAATTGCACTGAGATGTCGTGAAGTAGTCTGACTCGTTCGCTGACACTTTCTGATCATATGCGGTTATATTTGTATCTGTGTATATAAAATGCACTATATATATCCACTATATAACCGGTTTTATCTTCGATGAACGTGTTTTGTTATAAATACGTCCACTTTTTCTGGACACCAAAGGCAGTATCTTTTAGTCTGTGACGCATATCCGACGAGGAAACATTCTGCCCTTCCTTTTTCTTTGTCTGAGTAAGTTAGCATAGGCTAGGCATACACTTTCAAGTGTTGAACGCTAGGTGTATTACCGATCCATATTATGAGTGGTACTTCTTCTTTAATTGACGAATATCCAACTCTGTCGCGTATATATGCGGCCATCATTACGATTTCGGAACTTTTGTGGAAGTTTCGCATTCTTCAGCATAGATCTCACTAGATTCATAAGCATCCTATTTGTTCTCTCGGCTATTCCAATCATCTGAGGGTTTTTACTTTGGATCTTTCGTGTTTGATGCCTGTGTCTTCGAAGAATTCTGTAAGTTCCTTGTTGCTAGTTTCACATTTTCTTGTGGTTCTTGGACATCCAAATGCGTTTATGTACAATTTTTTAATCACTATTGATTTGCAACTTTCTTTTCAAGGCTACTGAGGTAACAAAATGTTCATTTATTGGGAGTACAAAGTTAGTTCGGTCCGTTTTCCTAAAGATGGTTCCAGCTGTTGTGAATGTTTCATAGTGACAGCTGATTTTAGCGATTTCAGAGAGGTTAAACATCTGCTAATAATATTCAGTTTATATCACTTTGCGTTTCATACAAAAACCTTGATTTTTACTGTGTTCGAAATGTCGAATTTTGTGTTACCCAAGCAGCATTTGCGGGAAGTTTTGATTTTCTGCTTTAATTGGAAGAAAAGTGCGGCTGAAGCCTATCGAATGCTTGTCGAAGTTTATGACACTGCTCCAACTGATAAATCATGTAGGGAATGGTTTCAACATTTCAAGGATGGAGATTTCAGCGTTGAAGACAAGCCTTGCTCTGGACAGCCAAAAATATTCGAAGACAAAGAATTAGAGGCATTACTCGAAGAAGATCAGAATCAAACGCAAGAGGAGCTTGCAGAATCATTGGGGATTAACTCAACAAGCCGTTTCTGTACGATTGAGAGCCATGGGAATGATTCAAAAACAAGGAAAATGCCTTATGAACTGAAATCGAGAGACGTTGAAAGACGATTTTTTACTTGCGAACAGCTGATTCAAAGACAACAGAGAAAAGGTTTTTTGCATCGAATTGTGACTGGAGATGAGAAGTGGATATTCTACGACAACCCCAAGAAGAAAAAATACTGCGCTAAGCCCGGTCAATCGTTGCCTCACATCAACATCACGGCCGAACATTCATAGTTCGAAGATCATGCTCTATATCTGGTGGAACCAAAAGGATCTTATTTACTATGAGCTGCTGAAACCTGGCGATTCCATTACGAGCGATCGGTATCGACTACAATTGATTCGTTTGAGCCGTGCATTGCGAGAAAAACGGCCGGAATACGAGCAAAGACATGATAAAGTTATTCTTCTTCATGACAACGTTCGGCCTCATGTCGCTAAAGTCATAAAAAAATATTTGGAAAAGCTCAAATGGTATGTTTTACCACACCCGCCATATTCTCCTTCTGATTATTGGTTGTTCCGAAGGATGTAAGTCACCGGTTCATTTCTTTCGCAGAAATCGAAAAATGGCTCCAAAATTGGATCGCCTCCAAAGATGAGTCATTTTTTCGAGATGGAATTCGAAAATTGCCGGAGAGATGGGAAAAAGTAATAGGCAGCGATGGATATTACTTTAATTGATTTGTTCATTCATTTTGTTTTGAAATAAATGCATTGAACACAAAAAACGGACCGAATTTGTACTCCCAATATGTCCAACAATATTTCTTTTGTGATAATCAAAAACATAGAAGACGGGCTGTTTTCATTTTTTTAAATAAACCACGAATAAGAACAATTGACATCTTTTATGAAGTCCAACGGCTCTTTCCTTTTTTTTTTAATTTGAATTAGATTTGATAAATGAATTTCATTAAAAAAACAAAGAACCGCTGTTCTCTCTTTGTCATGTTTTGATTTTTGTCTTTTTATTACTAATAGAACTTCTTTTAAGATGCCTTCATCAATTACCCATCTTCGAAGAGTTGACATTGCGGGCAACGGAATCTGTTTTGTTTTTCTCAAATACTTATAAGCTTTCGGGCTCACACTTTTCAAAGATATTGGAACCGAAATATCCTCTGAAGATCAGTGAATTTTCTTACACGTCGGATTCATGTACAATACATTTTAATTTGTAGACGTAAAAAAGGGACTCAACATTTCTACGATCTTCTGCTATAAAATATAAATAAATAAATAAAATATATATAAATAAATAA